AACAATCATCATCTTCCTTTGAATTACACAATCGTCCTAAAATCTAGGTCATTGCACAAATTAAAAAAAAAACAATTACTTTAAACAGATAAAAAATAAACGTCACAATAAATTACCGTAAATATATAAAAAAATCCTAATTTATTCCATCCAAAAACATAACGGTTCACTGCACTTCGGTACACTATTTTCTGTATAAATAGAACCAGCGTCTATTTCTGATATCGTGAATTAAAAAAGTTAAACACGCATGCGCCGTATCGCGCGCGGTTTCACACTGACAACTGACAGCTCTGACGAAACCGCCATTAGAATGGTGCGAACCTACCAAATTGAAAAGTCACCTAACAATTATTATTAATACGTAAAAACATACATACTTAATTTTATCACATAGCATTGAAATAATTTAGACAGCCATGTTGTAATGACTAAACGGCCGTTTTGAGGAGTCACATGACCTATATATTTTTAATATCAATTCATACGTATTTAATTTACTATCATATTACATTACTTGTAATTTTGTAATTGTATGAAAATGTGTTGTATAAATTTAAAAATTATTTTATCCAACAAATCGATTAAACTTATCGTAATTATTTCTGACAAGTATTATTCGTTAAAATTATAATGTCAATTAATATTTAATTAGCAAATCAAACAATATGACTTGTAACTATTATTTTCATACTACGCAGTGAAAAATTATAATGAAAATGGTGGATTTTCAGTGCTTTTTAACATAGAAGGATTATATTGGAGTCACGAGGTAAGTTACCGTGTATGATACGGGCTATTAATACATGGCGCGGTGGAAGCCAAACAGAAAATGTCAAAAGTGATGCCGCACACTTTGTTTTTCTCTTTGTTTGATTAAGAAATAGTTTGGAGATATCATAAAAATATATATATAAAAATTCATATTGAATGTGTGTAGGTTTGTATCTATGAATGTTACAATGGCTTGTAGAAGGCAAGATGGGAAGTGTCTGCTTGTAATGTCAAAATAACAGCTTTTTACTAAATGCATATGATAATATGTACGGGACCTACTTATAAGAGAAAAGCTTGTCTGTCTGTTTGTTTGTTCCAGCTAATCTCCGAAACGGCTGACGGGACTTTCACTGCTAGATAGCTGATGTTGTAAGGAGTAAGTTAGGCTACTTTTATTTTAGAAAATAATCCGCCATTTAGTGATTTTTTAAGAAATTTATATGGGACCCTTTGAGATATTTTTAAGGGTTTTTTTCGAAGGGTGCCAAAGGAACTCTATTACTAAGCCTCCGCTGTCCGTCCGTCGGTCTGTCAGCGGACTGGATCTCATGAACCGTAATATGTAGAGACTTGAATTTTTTAGTGTATTTCTATTACCGCTATAACAACAAATAATACAAATAAATAAAAATACAAGCAACATTCTTTTAAAGTTCGTAATCGATCATCGAAATCAATATACTACACACATAGAGTAAAAGTCATATTAATAAAAAGTACATGTACGATGGTGCGGAACTCTTCGTGTGCGAAATCGAGTCGAACTTGAGTGATTTTTCATGCTACGAAAATCTCGGTACGAGTCAGACTCGCATTGGTGAGATTTTTATTTTATTTTTTTATTTTACACACATTAATGTCAATTTGATACATTAACGCCATCTATTGGCGTTTATTAGAAATATTTTTTTATGTTCTCGATGAGTCTCATCAGTTTAAATGATATTTTACATCCCTATTAATTATTTGAACGTTGTAAATAAAAGTCCGTAGAGAAGGATTGGTTAATGGAGTCTAACAGAAATGTCTTCTGGATATCGCCTGCTTTTGCTCATCTAAGACTAACGATTTCACATAATTATTTATTCAATTGTTTGCGTCTAGAAAAACAAAAGGGAACCTATCCCATGGATACCGTACATTTTGCCGGGATAAAAAGTAGCTTATGTGCTATTCCAGACTATAATCTATCTCTGTGCTAAATTTCATCCAGATACTTTCAGCCCACATAATATAGGGTCGCTATAAATAAAAATGAATCTATAGCTACCATATTTTAAACGCGTAATTTATATAGGCAATATTTTACACATTAGTATAACATTACATAAAATTATTGTATAGTATGTATTCAGTCCTTTTTTTTCATCCCACAGCTGGGGGTGGGCCTCCCTTCAATACGAAGGGAATCAGGCCATAGCCCACCACGCCGGCCAAGTGCGGGCGGACTGAGCATGTCTTCCGACAACTTGCTAGGTTCTCTCAGACATGCAGGTTTCCTCACAAGTTTTCCTTCACCGTTAAGACAAGTGGCAATCAAAAATTTTGATGAATATTACATATTCAACTTTTTAAAAAGTTTATTATCATTTTTTTTTAAATATTAGCATATAACGGCAGAGAAAGCAAAACCACAGACAAAACTAGTATTAATAAATCTACATTTACTACTTACAAAGTACGCCACTACATTCCGGCCTTTTGTATTATAACTAGGAACTTCAGTCTACTTAAATGACCTGGATTGTGCGACCTAATTATGAAATTGCTAGCTGTTACAGGGTAGCTAGGCTAGGCTTTGTTTAAATCGGGCTTTATGTGGGGATCACGGGGGTTTATGTGCCGTAGGGGTTCATTTGATCGGGGGTTTATATTTTAAGACTATTGGCATGTTCTTTGAGAAGTTATTTTTTGTTCTAACGTCTTCAGATGCCTTTAGTATCTATAAGTAGAGTTTTACCACAACCACTCGGGTGTGTCCCTAAAACGTTTTAATATTTTTGAGCGAAACCCTAATTCTTTTTCTACAATAAAAGTAGCCTCAATTATACTACTAAGTAAGTTAAAGTGGAAGTCTCGTCAAAATCAGTACAACCGTTTCGGAGATTAGCCGGAACAAACGGACAGGCAGATAAAAAATTTTAAATTGTGTTTTTATTATAAGTACGTACCGTATATAATTTCATATGCATTTAGTATAAAGCTGTTATTTTGACATTACAAACAGACACTTCAATTTTATTTATCTGTATAGATTATATAGATATTACGGAGGTTCTCAGGGCGATTATTATTATCATATGGATAGCTTATTTTTCGAACATATTATAATATATTATAGACTATACCTACCTAGAGAATCCCTCTACCCATTAGTGAAAACCATATGAAAATTAGTACAATAATTTCATAAATAAGCACGAACAAACACAAATTTTGAACACACAGGGAACTTTTAAATGCAGTGATCATAAATGCTTTGTTACTAAGGATAACGTAAGTGCAAAATAACATATAACTTGTTCTCAATATTTAGCCTAAAAGATTTCTATCTAGATAGATACAAATTTAGCTCTTTTTTACGTTACGTACTGGTGGACCTACACCCTTCAATACGAAGGGGATCACGCCATAGACCCCCACGCCGGCCAAGTGCGGGTGGACTGAGTATGTCTGCAGACAACATGCTAGGTTCTCTGACATGCAGGTTTCCTCACGATGTTCTCCTTCATCGTAAGACAAGTGGTAATCATGTTGGAAATGATTCGCACATGAAAATATCAGAGGTGTTTGGCCCGGGATTTGAACCCGCTTCACTAGTTAGGTACCTGGGGAACCGAGCGAAGCGGAGTATTTCGCTAGTTAAGAAATTATTCATAAGAAACGTGTAGGTTTAATAACTACAGCTAGAATTATATATGTGTTTGACATGAAAATTAGCAACTTCTAACATACTTTTATTATCACTTGTATCTATGCTATCCAAATTTTGTGATTTTAACCTATTTAATATATGTATGTTACTATGTTGGTACATTAACACACGGCACCATCTAGTTCCATGGTAAGCTACGAGGCCTGTGTTATGGACACCAGATAGTTGATACACTGCACATAATAATATAACTTTAAATACCTACATACATATAAATATAAACAGCCATGACTGGAGTACAAACATTCATGCTCATCACACAAATGAATGCACCCAGCGGAATACTCAAACCCACGTTCGCTGGCACATGACATTATATGAGGTACTTATAAAAAAACTCAATTGTTCAAGTTTTTGTCTGTCTGTTTGTCCTAATTTGCGAAACACCTGGACTGATTTTTTTGAGTTTCTTTTGCCAGTTCTTCTCAGGTCTGAGGCTTCTTCTTTCCGAACTGGTAGTAGACTCATGACGTTCAGTAAACAATTGTAATAATTGAATGCTGAATAAAATGTTTTGAAAATTGAATTTGAATTTAGTTTACAAGCCTCCTTAGTACTTACTTTTGTATTACAATAAATTAGATTGTAGTTAGTTAGTCAGTAACTGCTAGAGTTTTTAAGTAAATTAATTTGAAAAACACTATCGTAATATGTTCAGCCATTTTATAAAACACACAGCATACAAACACAAAATTTCATACAGACCTGTTTTACAACAACAAGCGACTCTTGCACAGTCATATTCCATCAATACATTTGATTTTGACCTCTATTTCTTAGTCCCTAAAAACTATTCTCGATTGAAAATATAATAAAATTATACAGGAAACGATAATTTAACGTGATGTGGTATTTAGCGGACGGTTAGCATTAGGTAATGTTTGCTAAGCTGTCTCTATACCTAGGTCGTAGGTTTGATTCTCTGTTATACAGTGGTGTATTTCTTCCACTCCATCTTCCATGGTCCGGAAGCTGCGTGGAGGAAATTTCATCGAAATTTTACTAATTGATTTAATATTGTTGTTCATTGGTAAACACATATCTAAAAAATGGCCGCGTCGATTTGGCATTTTTTAAATATTATAATATAATACTATATATTTGTTAGACAACAACAACGGTTACCATGGTAACATGGCATTGTATTCTATCTCATTCTCTCACCAGCTTAATCCTATATATTTATGTGTTTGTCTCTCTTTAGTGTCGCATTTTCGTTTCATCGAGTTTCAAATCACAACGATTCTAAAGAAGTTTCAATTCAAAAAATAAAATAAACATGACTCACCCTTCATGTGGTCAGAAGTGTCTGCTCGCATAATATCTGTCAAATAGTGCTCTAGTGACCTCATGTTGTCTAAACCACTTCGATCCTGAAAAAGAAATAGAAAAACGTTAAAACCTCATCAAAATGAATACTTCGCAATACATTAGTGTTGCTGTGACTCCATGTGATATAATTTATTCACTTGTAATTTTTTCCCTTATATATGAGTAATATACCTATCGTTGCGTAATAGATAGAGGAACTTTCCTTAACAAACAGGGGACAAAATGCAAAATAATTTTACAAATCGGACTTGTTGTTACACAGATTATTAGGAACAAACAAACTCTTCTACTTTATAAACATACTAGCGACTTACCATCGCTTCGTTCGAATGCGTCCCTAAGTAGGTTTTAATTTTTTCGAGTGGAACCCTGATTCTCTTCTAAAATGAGAGTAACCTAAGTTACTCCTTATAACACTAGCTATCTACCAGTGAAAGTCCCGTCAAAATTAGTCCAGCCGTTTCGGAGATCAGCCGGAACAAACAGACAGACCAAAATTTTCAAAGTTGCGTTTTTCTTACTATATATTATATATAAATTCATATACAATTTAGTAAAAAGCTGTTATTTTGACATTACACACAGACACTTCAATTTAATTTATCTGTATAGATTATTAGCTTTTATTGCGGGTGCGCTCGTGTAGTCTATTTACGTATAACTGTGTCGATTATAAAATTAGTAATTCGATGTTAGATAGTCTAGAACATTCCTCAAGAATTAGAGTTCCCAAATGCAAAAAAGATGTTTCAAATCCGACTGGTAAGTAGTTCCAGAGGTTAGCGCGTACAACCAAACAAACTCTTTAACTTTATATATTTTGAACAAGCTGTTCACTATTAATATATTAGTATAGATTATAGCTACGTATTATTAATTACTAATAACTGAAATTCTCTGAAAATATTCAATTTTTTATTCTACTTTAAAATAGAGTTATAAAAATATAACACTGATCTGCTGTGATTATTATAAAAAAACATTAATACAGGCAGCACAGTGGTAACGTGCTCGCTTGTGAAATCGAAGCGGGTTCGAATCCCGGGTTTCGCTTTGATATTCTCATGTGCGAATCTTTTCCAAGATGATTACCACTTGTCGTACGGTGAAGGAAAACATCAAGAGGAAACCTGCATGTCTGAGAGAACCTAGCAAGTTGTCGAAAGACAGCAGCACTGGGACGTTAAAAAGGGCTGAACACAATTAATTATATGAATTACATATTAAAATATACTATCGTTTGAAAGATCACACGAAGGGATAGGGTGTTGCACCCCATGCAAAGAGTATAATAACCCACTTATTATCATAAATGCGAAAGTTTTTATGTATGTTTGTTTATTACTCTGTTACACTTAAATGGCTGAAAAGATTTAGATGAAATTCAGTACACAAATAGGCTACGACTTAGAGTAACATATAGGCCGTTATTTGTAATAAAATTACCCGAAAGGTGGCGCTGTCTGTATGTAATATTGTAAATGCAATAGACATTAGACATCCATTAACGCAGTGGAAGCAAGGCTGATTTGGTGGTAGTAACAACTCTTTTGACTGTAAACTAAATGAAAGGAACGAGTATATAATATGCAAACCCATTGGATATATTAATTTACTCTTTAGCATAGATTTCTCAGAGATGAGATATTTTCCCGCAGCAAAAAGTATTCTATATGTTGACCCGGATAACCAGCTATCATCATACCAAATTTCATCAAAATCCATCCAGTAGTTTTCTCGTGATGCGTTGCCAGACAGACAGACAGAGAGACAAAAACTCTAAAAACTATAGTTTCGGACTCTGTATCGATAATAATGACTATTTCAATAAGGTTTTCCAAATAATATTTAATGTACAGATTCGACTCGGGTAAAATTTTATTATATGTAATAGATAATAGATTTTTAACTTAAACGGTAACTTAAACTGACTTCAATCACAAAAAAAATTCGCCTTTAGCGTAGGTATTACGTAAAAATGAAAATAGAGTCACAATTAATATGTAAATAATATGTACCTATATAGAGTAGTACAAATATATGGGAAAATTGATCATAACCATTATTGATTTTTTTTATTTTTATATGTTGGGACAGTAACACACAGCACCATCTAGTTCCATGGTAAGCTACGAGGCTTGTGTTATGGATACCAGATAGTTGATACACTACACATATATAACTTTAAATACATACATGTTATAAATATAAATTTGAGGACATATACGAGTAGAATTTACCTATCTATATAATAATAACTTTCCAAATATTTTTATTGAATACTAAACTCGTCAACAGCTACTAAACAAAAAAAATATCGGTTGACCAACAGAGAATAAAGGGATACTAAACTGTTTTGTCTTTGCCTATTTATATATGTAGAGATATCATCTATATAAATATTATAAATGTGAAAGTTTGTAAGTATGGATGTTTGTTAATCTTTCATGCCAGAACGACTGAATGGATCTGGATGAAATTTGACAGAGAGATAGATTATAGTCTGGAATAACACATAGGCTACTTTTTATCCCAGAAAAATGTACGATTCCCGTGGGATATGTTTGTTTCATCATCATAATTAAGTGCCTCCTTTATGAAATTGAGGAAAATGATCGAAGAATTCCCAAACAATAAACTAAAACTAGTAAATATTAAGTACAAAAAACACAAAGAAAAAATAAACAGACAACCTTATCGCTGGAATCAAATCAATCAAATAACATATGCATTTACTTAAACTAACGTTGATAAATTGAGGTTGTAATAAAATATTCATATAAGCTGTCTGTATCAAAGTTTAATTAAAAAAGAACTCTTTTTTTTTGTAAATCGGTTATACCCCTAGTGAACCGACCAATTGGCATGACCTCTCGAAACATAAGGTACACCCCCATCCGGGGTCAACTTAACATGGTTACCCACTGACCTATTTCAACGTACGCAGTGTGACGTCACTACAGCACTGCGCTATACACCATCCACGCGAAAATGTATCTTATATACATATAATAAAGATGAATTTTAATTGAAATACTCCATAATAACGCGTTAGGGTTGAAATTTCTATGGCGTTAATTATCTTTAAAGTGTTTCGGTAAAATAATCGCTATTTTTTCCGTTTAAAGATGATTTTCCTTTGTATTTTTTTTCCGGTGGAACAGAAAGGTCACGGGGTCGAGCTGCATTGCGAAATTGTTTACTAGAGGTCGCTTGACCTTCTCCTTTATTAATTAATGGAAATTTATACCCCACCCGTTTTGGTGGGGAGAGAAACCCCTACTAAATTTGGCATGCAAAGATAGATCGTTAAAGTACACGTGTACAATATATTTACTTTGAAGATGTCGGAAAGACGTATCTATGAATGTACGTTGTAATGCATTCGTATAATAATATGTAATTAAATCAGGGTAGTTGGTTCGATTTTAAGGGACATATTGTATTTGTGTCTTTTTGTACTCAATTCGATTGATCTTTTGTGTATCTGACGCCATAAATTCGCCAAATTTGACAGGGTTTTCATTACATAAATAAGTTATGTTCGAGTATCGATTATCTTATATAAACGCTATTAAGGCAAAATGAATATATTTTAAAACTAACGACTCATCCCTAGATGATTCATTAAATTGACACAACTTTTTTATTTATGAACCAATTGAAATAAAACAAATACTATATGTTAAGTGAAGCTTACCACAATTTATTAGTGAAAACCGCACCCAAATCAACTAAGAAATTTCTTATATTAACGCGCAAAAACTCACAGACAAACCGACGAATAGACGAAAATTCTAAAAATCATTATTTTGGGTTCTATGGCGTTAATAAAGACCCCCAACAATAGTTTTTCTGAAATATTTTCCAGACAGCGATCAGTGACACTTTTATTATATATATATATATATATATATATATATATATATATAAATAATTTACATATATATAAGCTATATTATTATAAAGTTTCATTAAAATCCATTCAGTAGTTTTTGCGTGAAAGAGTAACAGACATCCATACATCCTCACACACTTTCGCATTTATAATATTAAGAACTAAGAAGTAGAATTTTATTATATAATATATATAATTTACATATATATAAGCTATATTATTATAAAGTTTCATTAAAATCCATTCAGTAGTTTTTGCGTGAAAGAGTAACAGACATCCATACATCCTCACACACTTTCGCATTTATAATATTAAGAACTAGGAAGTAGAATCTTATTATATAATATATATCTATATATTAAATAAATACTTTTTACATTTGTTATTTGCTCTTTGTATTAAAAAGTCATTATCAAATGGACACTTTTATTTATCTGTACACGAGTCATAGATTATAAAATCAATAATAGAAAGCCTTGATTACGGATAAGCTATTCTACAGTGTAGGTATATGTTAATAATTACATGAATATGTCTACGCGTGTGTTATGGTGACGAGGATCTAGTAGGCAGTGTTAGCCCAGTGAGAACGCGGTCACTTGGCGAATGAAGCGGGTTCAAATCCCGGATATCGCAGCTCATATTTTCATGTGTGAATCATTTCCAACGTGATCACCACTTGTCTTATGGTGAAGGAAAACATTGTGAGGCCACCTGCATCTCTGAGAGAATCTTTCTCAAAAAATTGGACTCAACGTTTTCGAAATAGATGTGAAGACCGCCCCGCACCTGGCCAGCGTGGTGGACTATGGACTGATCCCTCGCATTAAAGGGGGCCTGTGACCAGCAGTGGGGCGTTAAAAAAGGGCTGCATACAAAAACGAGGTTTTTAATGCAGAAAATATTTGAAAAGTTGCCCGGACAATTGGGAAATCTGGGAAAAACTGAATGAGGTTTTTTATACAAAGCCGAGCACACCGACTTCGAAAATATTTGATTAGGTATGTATAGTAAATGAATACGACCAATCAGTTATTTTTTACTTTTTAGTGCTTTTGTTTGAAGTCGGTTTTTATTTTTTTGTTAAAAAGTTTTTATTTTTCCCTTTTTAGTATAGACAGTAGTAGCAAAGTATCTACTATT